AAGATGGAGACCCAGACGTGGCTGGAAGTCTCTGCTTTTTCCTTTAATCTCTGCAAATACACAGGACACCGGGTCCCCACCCCACACGTGTGCGGCAGAGGGGGGCTGGCAGGACACCCGCTCTTCACACCCTTGGGAGAACCAGCGTGCCCATTCCACAGATCTGGAAGTCGAGGCTCTGAGCGAGTCCTACCTGGCGCGGCCACACCTCTGTGGCCCGTCTTTGGGGGAACTGAAGTGTTGCAGCACTTGGCACAGCATGGGACAGTGAGAACGGAGTGTGCAGGGAGAGCAGGGACGCCCTTTAACTGGGGGGAGGGGGACTGGGAGGCAGCCCTGTGTGCCTCCAGGTAAACATCAGGCCCCCTCCTGGCTGAGCCTCGGGGATCAGCCTGGTACCCGTGTGGACTGTGGGCCTGGGGCCAGCACCACGGACATCGGACATCTGGCGTCGGGAGGGGAAGACGGCAGAGCTTTGAGGCTGAGAACACTCTTGTAACGGAAATCACGGGACCCCCGCCTCGATCAGAATACAGTCAGCAGCTCTCCACCTGGCCCACGATCACACCGTGGAGGCCAGGGGGGTGTGACCTGCCTCTTAAGGCGCCAAGCGCATCTGTCATGCGCCTGAAGACTGCTCAGGGGGGCCCAGGAGGGGCCTTGGCCAGCAAGGGGGCCCTTCTGCCCTGGCCCGGGGGAGGGCCTGGAGTTACATTCCCTGGGGCTTTGCCGGTACCTGCTTTAGCCTGGCTGTGTTTGGGGTGGGGAGGGGCCCTGCCTTTGGCCCCAGAAATCCTGGTCTCAGAGGCCACGTCCCAGCTGTGACAAATCCCACTTTCAGAGTGGCTGTGGGTGTCAGGCCATGTCACCCAGGCTGAGGGGAGGGAGCAGACAGGGAGGAGGTGGGGTTCCTGACCCCGGCACCCGGCAGAGGGCTGTGTCCTTCGTCCAAGAGAGGCTTTTTGGGGCAAGGATCTCGAGTTTGATTGGAACTTGAGGGGCCAGCGGGGGGACACCCAGGTGGACCTGTCCACCAGAAACCAGTGCCTCTACAAGCACAGACACCAAGAAAGGCCACAGCCTGGCTCCTGTTCTAGCCTCTCTGCTCAGCAAGTTCCTACTTTTCCTTCAGGATCCCCACTCAGAAATCCCCTCCTTAGGGAAGTCCTCCCAGATTCTCCAGACCAGCTCAGGTCCCTGTTATACACTCTCAGAGCGCCTCAGGCCGCCCATTCGGTTGGGACTGATAAACAGTTGGGACTGTTCGGTTGGAACAACAAAGCTGGGGACCCACACAGAGGAGCGGGGTGCACATATGGTCACCACTTAAAAGACCGACCAAAGGAGCTGGGAGGCGTCTGGAGACGGGTGAGTGGGGCGCAGGGCCTGGGGGAAAGATGGGGTGGGAGGAGGGACCCTTGGCCTCCCAGGAGCACGAAGGGAAGGGTCAGCGTGTCTTGGACTGTCCCGAAGGGCGACCCTGAGGCCGCTGGACCTGAGCCATCAAGACAGGAGAAGCAGTGAGGTCACAACTCGAAGCCGCCCTTTGAAGAATGAGTCTGGGACATGTCTGGTTCATTTTGCTCATTCTCAGGTCCAGGATCCGGGGAAGTTCAGCTTCACCAGCCCCTCCAGGGCGGCCTGGGGCCCCAGCACGGTGGGTTATTAAACCCATTTTACAGATGGGGCCCAGAGGGGACGAGAGTCCCCGCAGTCCCCACTGAGGACTGCATACTATGCTTGCAACCCCTCCTGGCCTCAGCAGAGCCCCCCGCCAGCTCCCGCCCTCTCCTCGCTGGGGCGCTGGGGGCAGGGATGGTGAGTGCGGGAGGAAGTCTGGACCAGCCCGGCTCAGATCCCCCTCCTCTGTTCACCAGCTGTGTGGCCCTGGGCACACTACACGACCTCTCTGAGCCTGGATCTCCTCACCTGTGAAATGGGCGGGGCCTCCCTCCACGTGAGATAAGACTGGGATGTCGGCAGACAGGAGGTGGGGGTGGAAGACGGTCGTGGCGCTGTGAGCCGCTGGCCGCCCCCCCGCCTCCCGGGACCTCGGCCGTTTGGAACCTGGAGCCCGTCCGGCCTCGCGCCCTCCCCGCCGCAGCCCATCGAGGATCCTGCCGGAAAGCCCCTGCCCGACGCCCGACCTCACGCCCGACCTGACAGAGCGACCGGCTGAGTGGCCTTGCCTTTTGAACTTGTAGAGGATGAACACGCCCACCGCGAAGAGCCCGATGACCACGAGGACCGCCACGGCCCAGTAGCCGCCACCGCCTCCCAGCCTCTGAGAATCTGTAAGGAGAGCAGTGGTGCTCAGTGGGGCCCCACCGTCCCCCGCCCCGGCCTCCTCGGCTGGAAGATGTGGTCCGGCAGGTGCTCCCGGTGTGGCTGAGCGGCGTGGGCAGGCGTCGGGGCAACCCCGGCCCCAGGTCCCCCGCCGGGCTCCTGCTGTGTGCGCGAGGGCCCCGGCCCCTCCTTCTGGAAGGCGGACCGAATTGCTGGCGTGCGGTCAACCTGCCACGTTTCGCGACGGGCCCCGTGTCTCTACAGGGCAGAGGAAGCTCTCCACTTCTGCAAAGATTCTTTCCCAAACAGGAAAGGACACACGTGTGACCGGAGAGCACGGTCCCATGTGGGGGCGGGGACCCTAAATGTCCATGTCAGTTAAAGCCAGGGCTGTATGTGCCGCATCTGCGGACAGAGCAAGGCCCTTGGGTCTGAGCCCCGCCCCCCTTGGGTTGTAATTGGAGGCGACTGTCCAGCCAGGAGGAGCTGGTGGGTGACTGGGGGGTCCTCTGCCCCCAGTCCCCAGAGTAACAGTGTCGCCTGAGGGGGTTGCACACCCCCTCGATCCTGCAGGGGTGAGCACGGGCCAGGCCAAAGGAAGCCCCCTGCTTCTCACCTGTGTCTGTGTCCCTCATGGCCACCAGGATCCGGACCCCACCTCGCAGGAGGAAGCTGATCTTCTGTGCCTTCAGCACCTGCTGGATGGCCATGAGTCTCTGAAAGCAACAAGAGGAGACTGAGAGGGTCCTCTGGAAGCCACCGGAGGGAGCGGGAGAGCTGGGCAGACATCTGCTCTGACCCTCCAGAGCCACAGGGTTGCCGGGGGGGGGGGGGGAATTGGCTTCTTTGGGTCTCAGTTTCCTCATCTGTAAAATGGGAATACTTGCCAGCTTGCACTGAGAACCTACAGAGGGGCACGAGGGTGACCGAGCTGGGGCCTGACCACTCTCGTTCTCATTGGGGCCATAGAGTGTGGTAAAGTTGGGGAGCCCAGGGGTGCTCAGGAGGCCCCCAGACCTGGCAGTGGTCAGGGAGGGCTTCCCAGAGGAGGAAGACCAAGACGAGAACAAGATGGGGACAGGACAGGTGACCTGGGCCAGGGAGTGACCGCACCCCTGACGGAGAGCAACCCCAGGAGGTGATGTTGCTGGATCACGGGGTGGGGGGCGGCTGGCCTCTTGGAAAATGAGGGGGAGTTTTCCTGGTGTTCAGAAGGGGACCAGCTGCCCCATGTGGCTGCCCAGGTGTCATTCCTCTGCACAGGTGGGTGTACAGGTGCTGGGGAAGGGGGCCTCCCACAGGATGGTGGTCCCTGGGGCTCCCCTTCCCAGGGTGCCTTGGGTGGGACATTCTGGGGGCCAAACTCGGCCTCCATGAACAGCAGCTTGGCACCCGGTGTTCCCTGGGAATGTGGGGTCTGCGTCTGGGACTGTGCTGCAAGGGTCAATGCCTCCGGCCCCGTGCCCGGCACATGGCAAGGGCCAGGCGGATGCTGTGCGGTCAGTGACCGTGATGGGTCCCTAGGATTTTTCACCATCCTCAGGCACACGGTTTACCCTCAGCTCAGGACAAGGGAGGTGACAGTTCCCCCGTGTCCCTCCCCATCTCCTTCCAAATCTCTCCTGAGTGCCCACATCTGACTCCTGCAGAATCTGCCCATCTGCTCTCCACCTCGAGGGCCGGGGTGGGCGGGGGGTGCTGTGGGCCCGAGGGAGGGAGGTTCTCGAGGCCCGCCGCGCCTTCCCCAAGCTGTGCGGAGCCCCTGTGGCTAGCTACCTGTCTGAGCAATGGGTACAGTCACTCTCAACCCTCTGCTGTCCCACCCCCCAGAGACACGGCAGGGGCCGGGGGCTTGGCAGGCTGGGGAGCCCTCAGGTGCCGATGCGGATGCCCTTTGGGAAACGCTGTGGGCCAGGCCCCGACAGTCACGTCTAACCAGGAGGCAGCGTGGGAGTGGTGTGGAGCAGCCACGGTGACATGGGGCTCCCTGTCCTCTCCGTGGTCCTGATGGTGCCCCCCACCGAGCCCCACTTCCCTCGTCTGTAAAATGAGACGCTATCAGCCGCCCACAGGGCTGTGCTGTGCCCCGCTCAGCGCTGGTCTGTCTTTCCAGACGGCCTCCAGGGGCATCTGTCTCACGACCAGTCCAGAGGGGGTGGGGCTTCTGATTCTCTTTTTTTTGTCTTGAGATAACATTTGCTTTCTTCAAGCGTACAAATCGGCACTTTTTAGGGTACTTACGGTCATGTAGTTATCACCGCTGTCTGACTCCAGAACATTCTCATCATCCCCAAAGGAAACCCGTGCCTGCCAGCCGTCTGCACCCCCCGTGCCCCCAGCCTCTGGCAGCCGGAGCCTGCTTTCCGCCTCTGCGCGCCTGCCCCTTCCGGACACTTCCATCAACGCAGGCATCCAGCAGGCGGCCTCGGTGATGACCGGCTGCTTCCCCCGCGCGTCCCGTCTGCCGGGCCCATCCCAGGGGCAGCCGGTGTCAGATCAGACCCGCATCCCTTTTGACGGCTGCATAAGACTCCATTGTGTGGACGTCTGGCTCGTGGCCACTCTGGGGCTGCTGTGAACACCTGTGTGCCTGTGCGTGTGGACGAGCATTTCCGGTCCTGCGCACGCGCCTCAGGGGCCGTGCCCGACGCTGACCCTGCCTAACCTTCTGGGGACCTGCTGGTTGGCTCGGTACAGGGCTGTGCTTACAGTGCCCTGGGTCCGATTTCCACTCTCCCCCTCCACCCGAGTTTCGGTCTGTTTGGGGAAGCATTACAGCCACCCCAGGCACCCCAGTGGCTTCAATTTATCCCTGGGTCCCCATCCTGTGCCCGCCACACGGCAGGCCTTCTGTCTGCCCAGATGAGGGCTATTCTCTGGAAGCTGTCCCATGCAGTGAGGACATTGGCTAAGTGGATGGGCGCTGATTTCCACTCTGTCCTGAGACCCACACCCTGGGTGTGACCAGCTCTGGCCACCGGAATGTCCCCCTGGGGGGTGGTCCCACCCCAGTGCCCTTGTGCCCCGCCATTCCCCAACACAGTGACCTTGGAGGCCACCGGAGTCCCAGGGGTGCGGCCACGGAGGGAGCAGAGCCGGCCACCTGCGTCAGGCAGTGATTGGTGAGATCACTGGTGATCTGGTGAGTGATTGGTGGGCCTCTACGTGACAAAGAGCCCCCGAGACTCTGTGCTTGCTGTGACTTACCACCAAACCCTGGGCACTAGGCCACCAAACCCTTGGCGGTAAAGGGAGAACCTGGGTCCAGCGGCCTCAGGAGATACCTTGTCACTTGTGAGATTCCTCTTCCTCGCGGGCCCGGGAGGGGGCAGGAGCACATTCAGGTCGGCCACGGTGGGCAGCCCCGGCTTTACAACGGTCACCAGCAGCTCCTCGGGGACGCTGGTCTCCTGCAGGGACACGGACAAGCCCCCCTGAGCCGCCTGTCTTCTCTGTCCCCTGCCATGCTCTGGGGCCCCCAGGAACACCCTCTCTCTCCTCTTGGTCTGTCCAAGTCCTGGCCACCTGTCCTTCGAGCTAGTCCTGAGCCTCGCACCCCACAGGGATGGCCCCCGAGCCCGGTAGCCCCCTGACAGTGGCCTCCCCCAGGCCAGGCCTGCTACCTCCAGATCATTCCTCACACTGAGGGTGAGCAGAGCCCTCTCTGGCTAAGCTCCTCCCAGGAGTCAGGGCTCCTGACCAAATAGTTCCTCCAACCCACAAAGCTCAGCCTCCACGGGTCCCTCTGCCTCCTGAAAATCCCACTCTGTGCACTTCTATCTGGCAAACTCCTATTCAGCCTTCAACACCCAGGACAGTATCACCAGCATTATTAACTGGTTGAGGAGAGGCATGGCCAGAGTGGGCCTCAGCCTGTGACAGCCTTGGATGACTGTGGGGGGCTGGTCTTTCCTTCACTGAGGGACCAAGGGCCCTGAGTGGCCTAGGCCCACCCTGGGGCACCGCCTCGGTCTGCCGTCTGTGGGCTCCCCAGGGGCAGCAATCACATGGATTCTCTCTGGCTCCAGCATCCGGCCCAGAATAGAAACTCCGTGAATAAATGAATATCATACTAAGGAGCTTCTGGGCCATCAGAGGACAGTGACTGTGTCCTGTGCAAACAGCTGGTGCTCACTCGATGTGCATGGAGGACGTCGGCCTGCCCCTCCCCAGTGAGCTGGTGCTCCAGCCGCCTGTCCCGCAGAGCCAGGGCAGTGGGCCCTAGCTGTCCCCGGAGCACTGGGCAGACAGCCTGAAGACCAGGTCACCGGGACTGAGGGCAGCTCCACCCGCCCCGCCCCGCCCTGCCCCTCCCTCGGTGCTCTGGGGCCCCGCCCCTCCGAGGCGCCCTCAGGTGCTGGGGAGGCTCTGGGGGGGTGGGCTGGGGGCACCTTGGAGAGCAGCCGGGTCACCACCAGGCCGACGTCCTCTCTCCACTCAGGGGTGTTGGGGTTGTGCACATCCAGATCCGTGGAAAACCGCAGAGGCACTACCTGAAATTGGTCTGAAAAGTGGCAGAGACGGGCGAGCTGGTCAGTCCTGGGCAGCAAGGCTCCGCCCTCCGGCAGGAGGCCATGCACCCTGGATAGTCCAGGACTGCCCTGGCTTCAGATCCCGTGGGCCGCTTTGGAAAACAAGAGTCCTTCCTGCGCCAGCCACCGCCTGGGGCAGGGCCCACCTCACTGACTGGCACCTAATAACGAACATTAAAACCCCTGTGCCCACCGGGGAGGGAGGGCCCGGCACGCGCCAAGCCTGCCCTATGAGCTCCGCCCCGTTCACTCACAAGGATGGCTACACCCCATTCGGTCGGGCTCCCTTCCCCCGGGGATCCATGGACTTCAAGGGCACTGGTCTCCCCACCAGAGTAAGAGTCCCTTGAGGGCAGAGGTCCCACCTTCTCTTTCTCTCCCATTTGCCAGGGTCCCCAACCCAGAGGCCCACTCTGGAGCCCCGTGCAGGTGGTTGTGAGAGGAGCTCGCTGTAGTCTCTCCAGGTTCCTCCTGAGCCCCATGGAGGAAGGAGGCTTTGTTGGGGCTATGCGGCCCAAGGGACAAGCGCTTTGTGAAGTGGGAACCCAGCAGCTTACGGCAGGGGAGGCAGTGACTATTTCAAAGCCCTGGGCTCAGGACCCTGTGCACATGTGTTTGCGAATGGAGGAACAGCCAAAGGCAGGCCCACTAAATATTTAACTGATGGCTGCTGTCCATAGGAGAGGCTGTTGGTAAGCAAAATGAGGTTTTATCAGTTTTATCAGGTTTTATCAGACAAGGGCAATAGCACCCTGGGAGGGGGGCTCCCTTCCATTTTTAGGATTAATCTCTTTTTGTAAATGCCTCCCATGAGGGACTTGGGGCCCCCAGTGAGTGGGATCCAGAATGGGAGTCTCAGGAAAGGCTATGTTAGGGGTCCTCTTACTTTAAGCTAGAATCATGTGACAAGGGGGCAGGAGAGGTCAGGCTGCTGGGAGGCTGGCAGACCCGGTGATCCCGACAAGTCGGTCACTCAGCCACGTCCTCTTTCTGTGCCGTGTGAGGCCCATGAGGGCCACTGGACACAAAGACTCGTCTGTGTTCATTTTACAGATGGGGAAACTGAGGTCAGGGAAGCTGGGGAGCGTCAGAGCTGTGTTCACCGGCTCCTCTCCCTAGCCTGCGCTGCCCTGCATAACCAGATGCCGCACAAACCCAGCGCTCCCGAGAAGGGCGAGACGTGCCTCCCGTCCCTGGGGAGGGGGCTCACCCAGCACGCGGACCACCTTGGAGTCCTGCAGCACCGAGTTTCCGCAGGCGGCCTGCACAGTCACACGCACGTCCCCCGTGTCTGCAAACCGCGTGGTCACAGAGTTCTCCAAGGAGAGCGAGGGCTGCGGGGACCACGAGCACGGTCAGGGCAGGTCCATGCGGGAGAGCCTGCCCCACAACCCGCCCGCTGCCCAGGGCCTCACCCAGAACGTTCACCCTCCCCCGCTCTGGTCGGGACATGGGGGCAGCAGGGGGGGACACGGGGAGGGCCCCCCCCGAGGCACCAGCTCTAAGTCAGGGCAGCCTGGACCCAGTCTCCTAGGGGCCCCTTCCTTCCAGACCTGCTCACAGGGCTGGGCTGGGAGTAGCGGAGTTGGGATTGGAACCCGGAGCTCGGCGCCCTCCTCGACCCCACCCCCCATTCCAGGGAAACGCGATCTGGGGCCTACGGCTCCTCCCGCCCGGCTTCTGTGTCTGGGCCTTCAGCGCTGTTGGGGTCTTTCTGCCTGGGGTGCAGGGCTAAGCTTACTGAATGAGGGAAGGATGCCCCTCTTGAGGTCTCGAGGGCTCCCAGGCTAAGGTGGGCAGCCCTGCCCGCAGAGACCCTCCAGCCCTCCTACCAGCGACTGTCTGTGGCTCCCCGCTGCTTACGGGGTACAACCCAGGGCTCTGGGGAAGGCTTCTGAGATCAGGTCCGGCCCCCGTGACCCCCTCCTCCATGAAGCCTTCCCTGACTACACCCAACGCCCAGACTAGAAACGGCCTGATCTTCTGGAGCTCACAACACCTCACCGGCCCCCTTCCTGTGATGCGTATCACAACTCGGGTCACCTGTCGTGTTCACACCTCTCTCCCCAGGAAAAGGCAGTGTCTGGTCCACTTTATCCTGCGTCTGCCACACTTAGACTCAGCCAAACACGAGCAGGTGCTCGGGAAGAAAGGCTGGTGTGTGCTCACCTCAAGTCCACCATGTGTCCCTTGGTGGGACACCCTGTGTCCTTCTGCCCAGGCCCCGGGGCACTGCCCGGCCCCACTCTCACCCAGGTGCAAGCCTGTGGGTCCCGGGGCCAGCGCACCTGCAGGCTGTGGCCGATCCACCAGTAGAAGACGGTGAGGTTGGGGTTCAGGGGCAGCAGCACGGCTGTGAGGTTCACCTCCTGGTTGAGGCCGACGACAGGAAGCACTTCGAGGTGCAGGGCCTGCAGGGGGGCTGCGGGGTCGGGGGAAAGGCCGGGGTTAGATGGCGTCAGGGCACTGGCATTTCAGAGGCTGCCTACTGGGCACTGTCACCATCACCTTCGTCACTTCCACCAGCATCATCACCAAACCCACCGTGGCACGGAGCACCCGGGGTGTGGACCTGAGCCCAGCCTGCCCGTCTCCCTGCCCCTCGGCCTGCCATCCTGAGGACTGGGGTCCTAGAGCAGGCCCGAGGGTCTCCCTGCATTCCCCCCAGGACCCGGGGCCCTCTGCCCCGGGGAGGGACTCTTGGCCTCAAAGGGGCGACGGACTTACAGTTGACCTGGACAAAGAGCACCGCCTCGTCGTGCCCCGCCACGTTCTCCGCCCTGACAGACACGCGGTAGACGCCGGGGCTCTCGTAGCGGTGCCGGATGGGCTCCTCGGTCGACGTGAGGTTCACGTACACGGCCTTGAAGCCATCCCCGAGGTCCACCTGGTACTTGGTGGTCAGGACATCACCCTGCGGGAGAGACCACGAGGCCACTCAGGGGCGGCCGTAACGCGGACGGGCCAGCAGCGGGTCTACTCACTCCTTCCCTCGCTCCTTTCCTCACACGCCGTGGGCCCGGGCCCCTAGGCACCTGCCCGGCCCCGGGGACCTCCAGCCTGGCGTTTTGGCTGAGGAGGGCAGGTGCGGCCCGGAGCTGTAGAGACGCAGGAGCGTGGGAGCAGGGCGGCGGGCCCGGCGGGCAAGGGACACCCACTGAGGCCTGAGCCAGGGGCCGGATGGATCTCAGGGCAACGGCCAGAAAGATCCTCGGCACGAAGGCTCCTCAGGGGCCTCCCAGCAAATTCAGGAAACGTTTTCCCTTCTCTGATGCCGAGCGCCGCAGTTCTGGGGTGTTTCTTTGATCCTGTTCTCCGTGGAGCAAGCATGCAGCTCGGACGCACAGGGTCCGTGCAGCGCGGAGCTCCCTGCCCCTGCTGTCCCTTCCCGGCGTTTGAGCCGCTGGGGGTCGTCTGACGGTCTCCGCTCGGGACTGGGGGTGCCAGTCCCCACAGAACCACAGCTTCCTTACCAAGGCACGGGAAATCCAGCGGAAAAAAACCCTGATTTTCTCCAGTTCATAGCGAGAAAGCGTTCTTGCGTCCTGTCTCATGCCCACTCCCCTCCCTCCCCTGCCTGCCTCCCCATTCCTGCAGGAACACCCTGACAACCTTGTCCCGGTGACCAAGAACGACAATGAGCACTGGCCATGTACGCACCTCTCATTTTACGCCAGCCAAGCCCTTAAACTTACAGAGACCTTTCATATAAATTCCTTTTGTTTCACTTTCTCCACAAATACAGTCACTGGCTTGAACAGCATCCACCCCCTCAAGCCCCCCCCCCCCCCCCAGGAACTCAGAGCTTGGCCTTATTTGGAAACAGGGTCTTTGCAGAAGCCATTAAGATGAGGTCATGCTGGGGTAGGACGGGCCCCATCCAGTGGCCGTGTCTTTTCAAGAAGAGGTGGGGGTTTTGGGACACAGAAGAGACATCGTGTGGTGACAGGGCAGAGATTGCAGGGACTCAGTCATGAGCCAAGGGACACCGGCACCCAAGAAAGTGACGAGACAGGGAAGAATCCCTCCCCGGAGTCTCCAGCGGGAGCCAGGCTCTGCTAACACCTTAAATCAGACTTCTAGCCTCCAAAACTGAGAGAGGCCTGTGCTGTCTTACATTTGCAGCACATGGTCACTTGTGACAATGGCCCGGGGACCTTACAAACATGCTGTTCTATTGTCCCCACATGCTGGGCTGGAACCTGGAGGGTCAGGCCGGCTCACTGTTCAGTGCTCCCCGTGGACAGGCGGCCTCACGGGGACGAGGGGAGCGGGGTCTCCAGCCCACCTTGGCCTCTGTGCCCGCAGCCTGCAAGCCAGGCGCACCTTGGACTGGACCCGGCCTGTGGCTTCGAGGATGCGGGCGCTGCATCCCGCCTTGGGACCCCGCGTTCCTGTCCGTGGGCCACCCGCCAGGCTGATGCACATTGAACTACTCAAACATTTTACTCGGTTAAGAGGACTTGCCGTCTTTCCCCCTGATGAGAAGGGAGTCCAGCCTCAATGCCGGCAAATAGGAAACACAAGGGCAGAGACGAGCTAGGCCACCGTAACCCCGCCCCCTGCACCTGCTGTGTCTCCTGTGCTCCTGCTTTTGTGTGCTGCTGAGCATGTTAGGAAGAGGGGACGGTGGGTTCAGAGGCAGCCCCCAGTTCCCATGCAGCGAAAGGACCCGCACAGACCCCGTGTGCCCCGTGCCACACGCCCAGGGCCAACACCCGCTGGAACCACAATCTCACACCCGGGACACAGACACGGTCGTAGCCGGGGTGCAGAGCCACCCAGCCGCCACGGGCACCACCAGCAGCCCCACTCGCTCCCTGATGGCCACTCATCTGTCCCCTGTCTCTGCAATCTTGTCCTTTCCAGAAGGTCCTATAAAGGGAGTCAGGCAGCACGGAGTCCCTGGGATTGGCTTTTCTCAGTGTAATTCTCTGGAGACTCACCCAGGTGGTGACGCGTGTCAGTGACCTGCTCCCTGTCACCGGGGAGTCGTGTTCCACGCCGTGGCTGCACCACTGTTCGACCAGACGCCCCCTGGAGGACACCTGGGCGTTTCCGGTTTCTGGCTCCCGTGCGGTAAGGCCGCCGGGACCCCCCGGGGGCGGGCTCTGCGTGAACGCGAGTCTGCGCGTCCCGGGGGGGGGGGGGGGCACTTGCGGAGTCACGCGGTGGTGGCTTGTTCTGCTTGGTCAGAAACCGCCAGCCTGCTGTCCGCAGCTCTGGTCCCATCACCGCCCCCCTCCGCCGAGGCCACGTGTGAGGGGTCCCGTTTCTCCGCGTCCCCGCCAGCCCTTATGCTGGCCACTCTCGCAGGTGCGTCGTGACGAGAGGGCCTCCGCCGGTTTTCCAGCCGCTGTGTCGTTTTTCTTCCCGGTACCGGCCCCGGCCGGATGTGAGCTGTGTGAGTATTTTCCCCGGAACATACTTCTTGTTTGCTTTACAGGGTCTTTCACGGAGCAAGAGCGTTGCCTCCCGCCCAGGTCCGATGTGCCCGATTTCGTCTACGGAAGGTGCTTTCCGCGTCCGCTCCGCCTACACGTGGCCCAGCCCTAGGTGTGGACGCTTTCCATCTTCTTCCTAAAGGATTTGCAGTTTTCCGGCTTCCGTTGACCTCTGCGGTCCGTCCTGAGCTGATCTGGTATCAGCTGTGAGGTTCTGGCCGGGGCTCGTTTTTATCCGCGGTTCATCGGCCGGGGACCGTCCTCCCCTCCGCGGGGATGTTTCTCCGCCTGTGGCACAATCAGCTGTGCATTTCCGTGCGGGTCTGTTTCCGGGTCCTCCATCAGCCCTTGTTGTTAATTCTTACGTGTGGAACTTGGCCCCCGCCCCAGAGGGAGCTATTTCCACCCGCAGCTCGGCCCGTGCACGAGGATGGCCGGGTGTGACTTGTGCGTGTCAGTGTGTAAATGTGTCTGCGTGAGACGTGTGAGTGCTACACCGCGCATGTGTGCACGTGCAGGAGCGTGTCCACCGCGACCCGAGCTCCCACGCTTCCCCCGCGGCCTCTTCCGGACGGGGGGTGTGCACAGAGAGGCCTCTCTTACAGGAACACCTTCTGGTCACCCCCCTCACCTCCAGCCACCCTAGCCCTCGGGGTTGGGACACTGGTGCAGTGGGGCTCACAGGCTCGTCCTGTCCCGAGAATCCACCGATGTGACAAAGCTGTGAGACTGAAGGCTCTAGGGGGCAGCAGATGGCCATTTTTCCCGGACGGCTGTGCTGGGACTTAGGCAGCAGGTGGGTCCCCCTCTGAGGGTCCTGGGACCCCACCTGGGGAGGGGACACCATCCTCCTGCCACACCAAGATGCTGCTGTGACAGATGCCCCTCCCCACCCCGGGGCCACCCCCGGGGCCCCATGTGTGAATCTCAGGGCCAGGCCCCATCAACACAGGGACTGGAAACAGGCGGGACACGGGGTCCCCAGGCCCGGCCCAGGTCTGGGGGCCACAGACCAGATGCTGTCCATGCAGAGCCCCCTGGCCTGGGACCCAGTGCCAGCTCTGTCACTTGTCACTGTGTGGCTTCGGGCGAGTCACCGCACCTCTCTGAGCCAGGGTTCCCCGATCTACCAATCAGGTGACTGTGCACCCGTGAGCCTGGGCACATGGGCACTCACACATACAGCTCTGTGTCCTCTGGCCTCAGTTCCCCTGTTTGTATGAGACCAGAATTACTGGTTTCCAACACCAAGGACCTCTGTCATCCTCACGGACCCCACCCTGGCACCGTATTGTGGAGGGCGTGTGTTAATAAAGCGCGAACTGGGGCGCCTGGGTGGCGCAGTCGGTTAAGCGTCCGACTTCAGCTCAGGTCACGATCTCGCGGTCCGTGAGTTCGAGCCCCGCGTCAGGCTCTGGGCTGATGGCTCGGAGCCTGGAGCCTGTTTCCGATTCTGTGTCTCCCTCTCTCTCTGCCCCTCCCCCGTTCATGCTCTGTCTCTCTCTGTCCCAAAAATAAATAAACGTTGAAAAAAAAATTTAAAAAAAAATAAATAAATAAAGCGCGAACAGTTATAAAGCTGAACTTGCTTCATCTGTTCACCAGAGATCCCAACGCCCAACGGAGTGGTGTGGGCAGGCGGCTTGGGCTCCTGGGGTGGCCTCCCTCCAGGGGGAACAGCCTTGTCCTCTGTGCTTTCCTGTTGTTCGGAATGTCCTGCATGTTGGTAAGTCTTTGTCATTTCTGGTTTTGAATGTTCTACAGTGAGTTTGTTACCTGTCTAATCACAAGAATTAAGCATGCTATATATTCTTTTTAAAAGGCCAGAAGAAAATACAAAACTTAACAGTTGTTACCTTGGGGGCAACAGGAGTTTTGGTGATATTTATATTCTTGACATTTTAGGTGTTTTTTCAAATGTTCTACAATGAGCATAAATTCTTTTTAAAATCAGAATACAGGGGCGCCTGGGTGGTTCAGTCAGTTAAGCGTCTGACTTCAGCTCTGATCATGATCTCCTAGTTTGTGGGTTCGAGTCCCGTGTCAGGCTCTGTGCTGGCAGCTCAGAGCCTGGAGCCTGCTTGAGATTCTGTGTCTCCCTCTCTCAGCCCCTCCCTGCTGCCGCCCTGTCTCTCTCTCTCAAAAGTAAATAAAAATTAACAAAATGGAAAAAAAATCAGAGGAATGCATAACACTTGTACTAAAGAAAAAAAAAAGAAAGTAGGAGACTGGGAGGGAATTTACATATGTGTATGTATTATGTAAATTTAAATCTATATCCGTCTATCATCCGTCATCTACCTATAGGCTTAATCTTTGGTTCCGGGATTATAAATAATAATTTTGTTTAACTTCCCGCGTTTCTTAAGATTTCAGATGAACTAAATCAATATCCTTAGAGGTTTCAAAACTTGCTGTCCAGGGGCGCCTGGGTGGCTCAGCAAGGTTACACATCTGACTCTGGGATTTGGCTCAGGCGATGATCTGGCCGTTTGTGGGTTCGAGCCCTGCGTCGGGCTCTGTGCTGGCAGCGGGGAACCTGCTTGGGACTCTCTCCCTCTCTCTCTGCCCCTCCCCTGCTTACTCTCTCTCAAAATAAACTTAAAAAAACTGCTGCCCACAGGGGCGAATAAATCTTGTAAGCAAGAGTCCAGTAAGGCGTGCAGGGAAGTGTCCCCGCCACTGCCGGTGGCACGGAGACCCCTCCCCCATACCCTACTCCACCGCCCCCTGGGGATCTTGGAGGGGATTCCTCCTTTCGACGACGCTGGACTGGGCCCGGGGAAGGGACTTCCGGTCCACTCAGCTCCCCGGCTTGGAAAAAACCGGCTGGAGGCAGAGGAGACGTCCACGCACGCACGCCCGCCCCCTGCTCGCCTGGCGGAAGCTGCCCTCTGCGGGGACAGCGCGCGGCTCACCTGCTCCTGCCGCACCACGAACAGGACGTCCTCTCCCGGCCGCACGGCCACCGCGTCACCGCGGATGCTGACCCGCAGGCCCCGGGGCGGCGTGAGCGGGCACTGCAGCGGCGCCGGGCTCTGCCGCGGGTCCACGCCGCCCTCGCACACATTGGACACCACCTTGCGGTACCTGCGGCCGGAGGGAGGGTCAGGGTCTGGGCCGCCCGGCGGGGGAGGGCACGGGCCCCACAGCCCGGCGGGGACCGGCTGGTGGCGAGCCGTGGCTCCTCTGGCGGCCTCCTCCCGGCCCCACCGAGAGCCACCGCTAACCCCTGTCATCTCTGCCCCGGGTGGGAGCTGAGAAGCCAGGCTCAGGGTGGGGTGACCAGGGCCTGCCTCCCTCGATGGCTGCTTCCGTGTCTGGTCACGGTGCTTCCGACGACCCTAGCGCCTGCTCTCGCTGTGGCCGCGGGTGCGACTGGGGCCTTGCTGAGAATCGGGCCACCGGACGCCCCCGCTCCTTAGGGTTCCCCTCCCACGGCCTGGCCCTTGCCAAGTGGGGGAGACGGATCGCCTCCCGCATCGCGGTGAAATCACCACTGGCAAGCTCTGGGAGTGGGTCCCTGAGAGAGGCTTTCAGCTGAAATCAGGAGGCTAAGCAGAAGAGGGAAGGGCATCTGGGCAGCGAGACCAGCAGGGGCAAAGGTCCTGTGGTAGGTGGTTGGAGCCAGAGTGGGGAGCGGGGCTAGGAGGAGGCTGGAAAGGAGTTGGGGGGGGGGGCAGAGACCCATGGGCTCTGGTAAACCTTTTAGGAGACCCTGGGAAAACCACGGCAGGGGTGGCATCATCTGACTTGCTGATGGGAAACTCCCTCAGGCCACACCCGGCCTCGGGACCCCTAAAACTAGCATTATTGCCAAAGTGCCTGGATATGCCCACCCCCCTGGGTCTGGTGGCCCCTCCTGCCCCCACAGCTCAGCCACTGAGTACACATTCAGAGGTCTATCATGCAAAACACACTGGAGTCATTTAGAAGAAACTACACTCTAAGATCTACCCACACCCAGCACCTTAGTGCCCAGAGTGCAACCCTTCACCCTTGATGTGGGACCTGGCCCAGACCCTTCAGACAGGAGGCTCTGCTTGCCAAACCCTAGTGGGTGCACCAGAGAGGCTGGCACTGTGGGAGGGAGGGAAGGAAGGGATATGGACAGGTGAATGGACGGGTGAAGGAAGGACGGATGGAAGGACGGATGGATGGGTGGGTGGAGGGATGATGGGTACATGGCTGGACAGATGGACGGATGGTGGAGTTTATGCCGCTGAGGCCAAAGCTTCCAACTTCCAGTCCTGCTTCCTCACGTTCTGTCCTGTCCCTCCCCCTCCCCCAAGGGTCCTAACGGGGATTTTCTATTAAGTCCACTGAGGTTCTCTTCCCGCTCACGACTTCCTCAAAGGGAAACAGAGTGTCTTGGGGCCTCCCAACCTGCGGGTCTGTCACTTCTGTTCTCAGTCCAGAGCCAGCTCAAAGCACACTCTCTCCCTGATGCTGCCCCACGTGGGCTCAGATCGGACACCCTGCGGGGTTGGTGCCCGGGTTGAAGTCTCGGGAGCCCAGCCAATAGGACAGCCTCAGCCGACTTGTCTTTCTGTGGCTCTGCCCCGGGGAGCGACGCGGAGAGGCCCGGGCCACACTCACCCGAGGCTGCTGGTGTAGGTCTGGCCCAGAACACAGTCATCTGGCGGGGACAGGGGGTTAAACCAGAAGTTGGCAAAACACTTGTTGGCATCAGACCCCGAGGAGGGAGCGCGCTCAAATCCGTAGTCGCTGGAGGAGGAGAGAACAGCAGTCAGGAGGCAGGCCCGGGAGGGGATGGGAGCCAGTTTGGGGGTGGGGACCTCACAGCAAGGGCCTGCTAGGCACCCATTTGTCGGGACACACAGGCAAGTCCATACAGCCCTGTCCAGCCTGAAAACAGTTACGTTCCAGGTGAGAAGAGATGCAGAGGGGATTCTGGGAACTCATAAGAGAACACTGAGCCCAGCGTGGGTGTCCTGGAGGGCCGCCTGGAGGAGGTGCACTGAATCTCAAAGAAAGAGCAGCAGAGCAGTGGACAGGCAGGGAAGGAGAGGGGAGGGGCACCACACAGGGGGCCCCTCCAATGCTGGTGCAGGGAGGTACAGGGCCGGGTGGCCAGCACGCAAGGGGGAGCTGGAGGGCAAGGGGTAAGGACAGCCAGGGAGGCAGACGATGGGCCAGAAGCTTTGTGAACCAGATTCCGGAAGTCGGCGAAGGGCTGGGTGGGCGCCGCTCGCCCCCGGGATGCCCTCCCCTATTCCTGGCATCCCCTCCCACCTGTGAGCAGGCCACGGCGGTGGTTGTGCACACGTGCCCGTGAGTTCTTTAACGCCCTTCCGTGACGCCGCTGGACTGAGTCTTGGCTCTAACGCACGGGATAAGGCGGCAGGAGGAGCGTGACTCAGACCCGCGCTGGGCGAAGCTGCTTAGGACGCCCGAGAGGCCCGTGTCGGGTGCGGTCCTCACCAGAGGAAGTCTGACTCCCGGCACCGGCACACCCGGGCCTCCAGCGCAGACGTGAAACTCTTCCCCTTGACGCACCAGGATGTGGGCTTTCTCTTCCGGAAACTTCTCTGCTGGCCCATGATGCAGCGGTCACCCTGCAGCGGGAGCGCGGCGTAAGGAGCTGGCCGAGAAGGGCCGACCGCTCTCCATTATCTGGGGCTGCTGATCTTGTCCTTCCCCGAAAATAGCTGATTCTCAACCCCCGGGCGGCCACCGAGGCAGTGTCCCCTTTCACAGATGGGGAAACCGAGGCCCAGAAGGGCAAGGGGCGTGGCTGAGGTCAAGCTGGGGCAGCCTCCCTCCCATCCCAACCCACAAGCATCCACTGAGCCCCCACAGCGTACAAGCTCCCCCTGGGGTCACAGGGCGGCTGGAGACTAGGAGAGCAGGCGTCTGTTGGGTTTCTCCGTGTCCCCCCCCCTCCCCACCCCCGGCCCTCGTGGTGCACGCCCGGTGCAGGAGCTCGGAGGAGCCACGGCCCTCAGGGCGAAGGTGGACACACAGCCAGTCCTCAGCCTGTCCTCCCAACAGGCGCCGCCCCCTCCCTGCGACGGGCAGGGTGACGTGGCAGGTGCGGGAGCCGCCCATGCTGAAACCCCGAGCTTCCCTGTCACGCCTCGGGCAGCACAACCTGGTCTGGGCTGCAGGGGCCGTTTCCAGCCCTCATTTATTTCACTTAGTGCGACTATCCCATTATTTGTTCTAGAAACATTTGCGTGCCTGAGATTATGGGGTGGGGCTACCCCATGCCCCAGTGGGGCGTTGGGTGATACACGATGCAGGCACTGTGTTGCCCCCCCATCTTACGACGGCTCCCGGATCCCAAGCGCACGGGCTCCGCAGTGGGGTCGGGGCCTGCGGTACCCCTGAGCCCGGCTGCAGACCCGAGCCCGGAGCAGCCCGGGCCCCACGAGGCGGCCGGAGAACCCGGCAGAAGGACTGGGCGTCCGGGGCCGCCGGGGTTCTGGGAAGCCGTCCGGCAGGTCAGGTTCCTGGGGCCGTGCCGGCGGGGGGGGGGGGGGATGGCCAGGCAGAGGGGGCCCTCCCCGCCGGCGCCCCAGCCCACCTTCAGGTCGCTGAGGTGCCAGGAGCCGTAGTCATCCTCACTGCACTGCCTGGAGAAGGAGGGCCGAAAGTCCACCTTGACGAGCTCCCAGTCTGAGCGGAAGCTGATGTGGCCGAAGACGCTGGAGAGGGAGGAGGAGGGAGGGGAGGGAAGTCACCTGAGCCGGCCCGTCCCGACTCGGGGTGCAAGCCGCCTCCCCTCCGGGCCTCGGCAACACCTCCCGGCCCCGGCTGGGCCTTCCCGGGGGGCCAGAGTCCCGGACCCCCGCCCCCCACCCGCACCGCGCCCAGCCGGCTGCGGGCACGTGGTCCTGGCCTTGGTATCCCCACCACCGTCCCGCATCGTCTGTGGCTCCCGGATTGCACGCGTGGGGGTCATCCCACACGTGCCCCCCCCCCCCGCCAATAACCCAGGAAGTGGGTGCGTTGTCAGGACCCCCGGCTCCCAGCAGCCACCGGGCCCTTCCATTGCCTCCCACGGTCCTTGCTTGTGTGCTGCAGAATGACGGGAGGTCAGGTGGTTGTGGCGGTGCGTTTCCCGCCTCCGTCAGCCTCACCGCGCAGGGGGCGGGGCCCCGGCTCTACAGAACCGGCCGCAGGCTGTTTTTCCAGGCACTGCCGAGAAATCCGGAGTGAGGAGTCGGCACGCCGACTCACAGCGGCAGGATGGGAAGGACCTCAGCCTTGTGCTCATCTCCCGCCCACCACGTGGCCCCAGCCTCGGCGAGCGGAGGAAGCAGGGCGGTGGAGCACCCTGGGTGCTCTCTGGAGGCCAGACCTTCACGGGGCACCCGTGATGTGCTGGGGGCTCCACATATGCTGTCTGGTCTAATCCTCGCCACAGCCTTGTGAGAGGAGTTCACTCCTATTTTCCAGAAAGGGAGACTGAGGCGCAGAGAGGTTGAGTAACTTGCCCAAGGTCACCCAGCCCGTTTGGGCCATTTCCTCTCCGTCAGCACTCAGGAGTCATCTGCTGAGTACCTACTGTGTACCCAAATCCCTCCGTCTTTGCAAAGGCTGCTATTTCAGGGGCTTCCCTGTGATACCCCACACTTGGGCTCCAAATGCCACCACAGAAGAGGGGGCCCAGCCTGCACGTCCTTGATCCTTCTCTAGTCCAGCCTGCAGCATTTGGGACATATTACCAGAGGTCGAGCACCCGGGTGGGGGAGGTGATACGCCCTGTTGGACTCAGTCCTCTTCCATACGTGCTGACAGGGACCAGATACTTGGGGAAGGTCAATCGTGATCTGAAAGGATGCTAATCCCACTCCAGAATGGCAGAGGAGAAATGTGTGGGAGTGTTTTCTTGGGCACATGACGGCTGGCTCTGAATGTCCGAGGCTGATATTTGAAGAAGGGTTTTGCTTTCACAGGGCGGCTCTGATCCAGGCCTGGGTTCATGCCCCGTTTCCTACGTCTGTGACCTCGGGCAGGTTCACTCCCTCTGTACCCCATCCTCCTTGGCTTTAAAACGGGGACGGCGGCCCTGGCCTTTTCAGGATTGATGGTAGGTTAGCAATGGTTTGTGCAGGGCGCTGGCACATAGTAGGAGCTACACACGCACACGCAGCGATTTCTCTGCTCCCCAAGACAGTCCCACGAAGTAGACAACTATTATCTTCATCTTACGGATGAAACTCCTGCCTCTCCAGGCTGGTTCAGGGGCCTCCTCTGGTGTTCAAGGTCCCTGAGCCTCCCTCTGTCCCGGCCTTGACCTTCCCCTGCGGTCAGTCCCCTGGTCTCCTGTCTCCCAAACAAAGCCTGCCTGGCGGGTTACTTAAACGGTCTCAGTAGGGAGATAATTTCTTTAAGGGAGAACCTCCCACTAAGGAAGGGACAGGACAGCCCGGCAGGCCTGGGTGGGGCGGGCGGCAGTGTGCTTTCCGGGCAACTTCCCGCCAGTTCAGGCCTGAGGCTGGGGGCTCATCTGCACGGGCCTCTCTGGGGTGTTCAGAAGCGTGAGTGCCTGGCCCGTCGCAGCCAGGGGGAGAGCCGATGAGGTCGCGGCAGCGCGGGGGCCCCACCGTGAGCTGGGAGGGCAGACGGGAGTGTGAGCTGTTAATTAACTAACCAGATGCTTCCAGGGAGTCCAGCCAGGGCATCGCTCCCAGGCAGTAAATCCATGCCTGCCACCGGGCGCACGGCCACCGCGGGCTGAGCGGGCAGGGGAGGGGTCAGGCCGCCGGGCGCTGTCCTGGCCGGGCCTGTCTGCTCCAGGAACGATGGAGCCAGGGCAGGGCCGGTCCCGATCATGACGTGGGAAGGCACTGCTCCTGCTCAGCCCACAGCTCGTCCTCCAGCCCGTGACTTAGCCATCCCGTCCCAGTTCAAGGTCAGCTGCTCCCAAATGCCCAAGACGCAGCTGGAGCCCTGTACGGCCCTTCCCCACCCCCACCCCCGGCTGGCCCTGGTAAGCCAGCCTCCGTCCCACCGGTGAGGACGTGTGCCGCTCTTCTATTTGGTCTGCCCACCGGACCACCAGCTCCGGGGGTCCTCGGGGTCCTCGGCGCCCGGGACAGTGGGCGGCACGTTGCAAATCATGCTGGAGTGACCACGGAAGGGCTGGCCTACGTGGCTTCTGCTGTGGTGTGGAGCCAGGTGGGCCTGGTCAGCGGGGGGAGGCGCTGTCCCTTCCCCTGCCTGTCCCTGTCCCCTGCCCCGCCTTGGGGAAGTCTCCACCCAGTCCACTGGGGAGAACGAGGCAAGAGCTAGGGAGGCTGAGTGCAGAGACTGGTGCTCACGGCCCAGGCGCCCCGGCCCCGAGCCAAGCAGGGAAGCGTGTGGGGCCCTAACCAGCTTCCACGAACGAGGGCTGCGAACAACGAAGCCTGGAAGCCACAAGTGGGAAGTTTTGGTGTCTGCAGGGTGGGGCTCCGCCACAGGCTCCGGGGGAGGGTCCTTCCTGCCCCTTCCGGCCTGGCAGTCCTGGGGCTGTGGCCTCCGGTCTCCACCTCCCGGTCACACTCTCCCTGCGTGTCTGTCGGCATCCCTCCCCTCCTTATAAGGTCGTGGGGTTAGGGCCCCCCCAGCCCCCAACTACTGCACCGTGACCTCGTCCCAGCCGATCACATCTGCCAAGACCCCATGTCCAAAGAAAGTCACAGGTGTTGGGTAGATGTGCATTTTGGGGACCCTTGGTCTCCCCAGTACAGGCGTCATCAATACAAGGCAAGAAGAGGGCACAGAGCCCTGCTGTGTTGCCCCAAGTGCGGCCAGGCACACGTAGGAAGGAGGGAGCTGGTAGAAATGCAGTGTGCCAGGCCCTGGCCCGGCCTGTGGGTCAGCTCTGCCTGAACGAGCCCCCGGGAGGTCAGCTGCCCAGGAAGGAGCCTTCCAGGGACCGACCCCACTTTCCCCGGTGTCTGGGTGGGAGCAGTCAGGCCCTGGGCACCTGTTTCAGGCCCAGCCTCTCAGATCCCAACAGGGATCAGGGTGCCTAGTGCAGCGTTTGGCCTGGAGTGGGGTGAGCTCTCCCTGTGGCCTCAAGGCCCAGCCTGACCCGGGCCCCGGCCTGGCCCTGCCCCGCATGG